TCGAGGTGTATCATTCCCTGATACACGAGCGTCGGGTGTGGAGTCTGCATTTCACACGCTGCGTACAGTAACTGTACCATGCCAGGGTGTTCTGTGAGCCGGTGGATAAATTAATGAAATAAAACCTAGAAGGAAGACTCCGACATTCAACAACCTCTTTTGAAATAAATGAAGAGTTGAACAGGCTTTTAGGAAATCTAAATAGATACAATTTAAAGGGGAAAAGCATAAGCCAACATTCCACATTCTTCACATTGGTCCAAATCCTACTAGCTTACGACTCGCGTGCTATTAGCCTTGTACTGCGATATCCCAGATGCAGCTTTCCTAGTTAGTCCCTGGCCAGATTCTAAGGAGGCATCCAAGCTTTGGGTCCAAGTTCAGGAGGCATCTCAGAATGCAAATGCCTGTACATTCTCAAGGATGCAATTTGTTTTTCTGTTTTAGAGGCACTGTGCCTGTCCCAAAATAAATGTTATTAGTCAAAAAAAGACACCAAAATATATTTTCTCCTGGCATTATTTTATTTCAATAAAATTAATGCAATTTTGTTTCCTACTCTCTTTACTTAAATTAGTAGGACCATTTTTATGTTAACATAAACTCTTTATAAACTTGAATTTTAATACCTAAATGATAACCCCTTAACTGGATTTGGTATAGATAACTGCTCCCCGTAATTTGACATTTCATTTGCAGGTGATTTTCACCTTTTTAGGATGAACCTCTTTGTACAGAAAGCACTTTGGGCTTGAATTATATGCTTACCTGCCACTCACCGATACCTGTTCCAACACGGACAGTGCACTCGCTGTTGCTGACTGGCCCACAGATGAGTGCCTTCTGCTTTCAGAGGACTCACTGCCCATGTAGCAGGGGTCAGATAAAAGCACAATTGCTACACAGAGTGAGAGGCGGAAAACTCAGAAAGCCTTCCAGGAGTACACACAGGTGCAAAGGCACTGGGATTGGGTGAGAATGTTTCTTAGTAGGACGCAAAATAGGAGCATCAAGTTAGGAGCAATGATTTGACAGCAAAGTCGAAAGAAGCAAGTTCATGAAGGTCCTTTAGTGCCATGCTAGCACTCAGGTTACATGAACTTGAAGGTGATGATATCTCATTTAAATATTTGTGCATGGAAATGACAAAATCAGTTTGGATTATATATTGGGTGTTGTACACTATACAAAATAAAAACTTTTTCATTAAAAAACAAAATAGTCGTTTTACTATTAAGCCCGAACTGTGAGAAAAAATATTTTATAGAAATGTAAAAAAAAAAAAAAAATGGCTGAACCAAAGCATCGCAGGTTCGATTCCCAGTCAGGATACATGCATGGGTTGTGGGCCACATCCCCAGTAGGGGCCATGTGAGAGGCAACCACATATTGATGTCTCTCTCTTTCTCCCTCCCTTCCCCTCTCTAAAAATAAATAAATAAAATCTTTAAAAATATAAAAATAAAATAAATCTTTAGAAAAATGGCTGAGAAGTAAATGACATGATGTGATTTTGGCAGTTGTTCAACTTTAAAATGTATGCTTAGAAAATGACCAGTAATTTATGTATCCCTAAGATGCGCTCAGAGAAAAGGGCTTTATCCTCATTGAAGTGTGCTTGCTTCTGGTTTACTCACTGCCTGTTGTTAGTTCGGAAATAGATAGATAAATAAATAAATAAATATTTAAAATAAATTTAGGCCCTGGCTGGTGTAGCTCAGTGGATTCAGTGCAGGCTGCGAACCAAAGGGTCGCCAGTTCGATTCCCAGTCAGGGCACATGCCTGTGTTGCGGGCCAGGTCCCCAGTGTGGGGTGTGAGAGAGGTAACCACACCTTGATGTTTCTCTCCCTCTCTTTCTCCCTCCCTTCCCCTCTCTCTAAAAATAAATAAATAAAATCTAAAAATAAATTTAGGAGGCCAAATAAATATATATACATATATATATATATGCATATATATAGTCTCCATCTCGTAGAGTTCCACAATTTTATTTTATTTTTCATTTAATCTTTATTGTATTTTTCCCACTACCACTTATGGAAATGTTGCCCTCCCCCCAGCAATCACCACACTGTTGTCCCCATCCATGAGTCCTTTTCCCTTTTCCAGTAACACGTAGAGAGCTTCCAATATGGGCATCGAACTCATCATGAACTCACTCCTGAGGACATGGTTTTGTGTTTATGATGCAATTTCTAGAAAGATGATGTACCTGGATAGAATATCGTTTTATTTAAAAACCCCACTTCTGAAGTTAAATACAGAGCACAGGAAAAAGAACCAGCTTACTTCTGAGCCTGGGAAAGAAGGAACACAATGTAGAATCTGTCTGGTCTTTGTCAAATGGCTTCAGAAAACTAAGAGTGGCTATATAAAAATTACCTTACATGTTCTGATTTTGCCCAAACTTGGTAATGAGCCAAATGCAGAATGCTTATTTTATTTCATTCATAACTGTGTTCAAAACATCAAAACCTATTTCCCCAACACTGGCTTACAGGAATGACCCGGAGGAGAAGGGCTCGCCCTAGAGCAAGCAATACACTGTCGACAGGCGGCAGCCACTCTCGGTTCAGGCAGAAGGCCAGTTACTTCGCTTTCTGTGCGTCCCTAGGTTCCTTCCGCAGGCTCGATGCGTTATAAATACTGCTATTAAATGCTAGAATGGAAATTTCCTGTGTTGGCTGGGACAGAAAAATATATAAAAGAAAAAAAATCAAACAATAACATTTCCATATGGCTTTATGATCTTAGCTGTATTTTCGTAGGCATGAAGTGTCTATAGCTCAGCAATACATTTTTTTCCCGATTCTATTGTTTTTGTTCAATAAAAATTTTTTAAAATTAGGACTAAGGTTCTCCTATCTGCCAAAAATGTGTGCTGTGAGCTTCCTTGCTGCATTATGGAAATGTCCCAGTTCATACTCACACGCTTTCAAGCTTTCTCGGAGCCCCACTTAGGCGCTCCCTGAAATGTTGCTGATAGCTTTAACCCTTGTGATGTACCCGCACTGATACTTGGAAGATTTTTTCCACTAGCTCAGTATGTTAGCTCTGAGCTAGCATGACTAAGGTTAGATACAGTATTTTCTGAGGAAAGTAAGAAAATGCAGTATAGTCACCCTGACTTATTTATTCCATGAGCACGGGCATGTTCAGCAAAAGCCTTCTGGACAATGGGGGCTGGTTATCTTTTTATGTTGTCATTGGCAAGAAGCCATTATTCAAATGGGTTTCCGCAATGACGACTCTTCTGCAAAGGAGCGTCTTAGAACTACGAAGGCTTTAAATTAGACTTGAAAACTAACATTAATATTTCATAAATATAATGTTTTTAATCCTGCTTTTAGGTTGGCATCACTGGAATGTAGAAATAATGCTTCTCTAGGTCAGCACTAGACGAAGTTGGCATGCTATCTATGTGATGTGCGCATCCGGCCACAGAGGAACACCGGGGCATTGCAGATTTGGAGGAACCTGACCAGAAATGGCTCTCAAATTCTTACATTTAGATAACTCCTACCCTGTGGGGCCAGTTTTCTCTAGGAAAAAAAAAATGAGCATGATAAGCCGTTTTGCTTCTGTAGCAGTTTATTTGAAGATTTTGTGAAGTTGGTGGGTATGGAACACGTGTGATTAAATCTAGTGTGCCGCCCATGCCAGATGATGAACTGAAGACCTAAATGGTCTCCATTCCCTGGTGTGCACTAACCACAGACACATTGCTAGCTGACCCACGTGTGTGTGCATGCAGGTGTAGTCATGTTTTCGTACTGCAGATTGTCATGGGGCTGTGCTCAGTGCTGCTGAGAGGGAAATCGAGGGAAGATCCGGCACCTACTCTACTGATCTTGCCTTGTATTTGGCCACTCTGTCATGTCTTCCCAATCCCCCACTTCAGTCTGAGCAAAAGATACTCAAAAATTATTAAAACCTCTCTCTCTCTTCACTCCCTTGTTTTCCCTTCCCTGATGCCAGCCTTCCCTCCCTGTTAATTGAATGACAGAGTGGTCCATCTGCCCCAGCCCAGGCTATCCTGTTTGGCACAACCAACATGAACACTCCAAGCCCCCTAATTATTCATGAGAGGCCGTCACAAGACCCTAACTATTGGGCCTATGAAGAGTGATTCAGGAGACTCGTGATTTTTTTCTTAATCCTTTGTGATCTAACTGACTTTAAAATTGTTGGCTAATTTCATTATTTTATGATGTCAAGAATAAGTGAGATTACTAAATCCTATATAAATATTTAGACTTTTGTAGAGAAACAGAATGAGCACGTCTTTGGTAGACTTTTTAGACATAAGGTGGAGTAAAGGCATCCTCCAGTAGGCAAGCTTCCAGCAGTGGCAGCGCACAAATCACAGTTTCAGCTCCTAGTGTCAGCTCCCCCACACCAGAGGGTCCAAAAGCCAGTTTCTGAAGTCTGCTCAACAAGGGCAAGGGCCCCAGGGCCATTCTTAGAGAGCATGACAATCATTAGGGAGTGAGGGTGTCTAGAATTCTTGGGGTCTTTATCAGAGGCGATTAGAATAAAGGTCTGAGCCACACTCTAAGTAAGCTTGCTTTCCGTGACCTAGTGCAGAGCACCGATGATGTACAATACACGAAAAGGGTAAGTATATACTTATATGCGTGTTTATGTGCTTTCATAAAGGCATATAGGTGTTATACAAATACATCTTTCCACCACTCAATGCTGATGGTGGCACACCCATGGCAAATCTTCAATAAATATCTTGTCAACTTATGGCACCACAATCCCTTCATCCTACAAAACTTGCCATTTAATTTCTAACAAGGAAAAAATGACCATTCATCTTCTTTAAGCCTAAAGATGCGTTTTGTTATATAAATAATCTCATCTTCATTGATATAACCTACAATTTTTTAAAAATATCTCTGAAAATCACAAGAAGCCTGTGAACACCTCCCAGATCCATTCAGATAAAGGTCTTTAATAACATTTCCTTATCTGTTTATTTGATCTTTTCAGGAGAAAGAAAGACAATAGTGTCTTGCACGAAAATCATGAACAAAAATATCAGCATTGTGGACAACAAGAAGTGCAGACACTTAACGAAGCCAGAGCCACAGATTCGCAGGTGCAATGAGCAGCCGTGCCAAACCAGGTAACCCGGTGCCGCCACTCGCTCAGGCTCTGTGTGTCCGTTAAACTGCTGGTCTTTAAAACACGGAATATTACCAGAATCACGTATTCTTAAAAACAGTGCAAGGGATCTGCACCAAAATGTAAGGCTTCCGGTAAGCAAGGTCTGCGTAAGACAGCCGACTTGATAGTGTGAGTACTGGAGCCTCAAGGCTAGAATTCACCTTGACTTTAACTGAGCTCTCTGCAGAGTTTTCACTGTGTGAAAACAACTGCTAACTGCGGTGAGGAAAAGCCATTACAGTTATTGGGTCAGCTATTGGTCACCACTTCAAAAATCTGGTTATCAGGTTGAATGCAGCTATCCATTCCTGAATTCCTCGTCATGGTGTATTAGAACCTGCCTGGGGTGATGTAAACCAAAGCAGGACTGGCCGGGACCTAGTCCCCTGCTCGCTCATGGCACTGGTCCCCAGTGGGATCCTCACTTCCTCTCCCAGAGTTCCACAGGCCAACCGCCTGACTCTAATCTCCAATCACCAGATTCCCACCCTGGGTCTTAGCTACTGGATCGTTGGTTGCTTTGGTCCCTGGTGACTTCCTCGAGGAGTGTTAGGCAAGAAACTCACCAGCATTCGGAAGTGGTGTAGAAAGAAGCGATGCCTTAGTAACTGGCAGAGATGAGTGAGTGGACTTTAGTGGAACCTGGGAGCGGGCAGCAGCCAGGCTATTGGGAGCAGTCTCCTGAAAGTCCATGCACTTTCATAGAAAACGATGTGGAACCTGAGTGGGACTAAGCCCCAGCGTCCAAAGTCCCCAAAACTTTTAGGGGCAGACTGACAAAAAGAGTGTGAGGCTGCACTGATTCCTCTAGAATGTGAAGACAGCGACCTTTATCCTGACACTAAGAGAACCGTTGAGGCTCAGCAAGTTAGCATGTAGTTGTGAGATTTTAGGGAATCGAGCAGACAGTTGGTCTCTCTCGCTAATTTCTGCAGTTGTAGTCAGTGAATTTACACATCCTACCCTATGGATGGGCAAAGAATTTGTAGCTTTGTAGGGGTTCGTGACAAGTATAATCTTCATGCCCCTCCACCACGATGAGGAAGTGTGTGCTGGCTAAGGGTGGAGGACCAGAGTTGCCTAGACTCTGTCCAGGCTTCTAACCTTCAATAATCCCTTTGGGAATTAGTGTCAGGTGGCCGCCAGCCGGTGCTCATTCCGGTTTCCTTCTCCCCACCCCCACCTTGCCCCTTTCTGAGGCAGCACTACTTCCCGATTCCCTCCATTTCTGCCCATTGCAAAACTCAGTTACTGCGCCCTGCAGATCTGGCTCACACCATGTTCATGAGACCATAAAGAATTCCGAGACTCCTTCCTTCCCCCAGAGCTGAAATTCCCAGGCTTGCTTTGCTGTAGATGCTGTGTGTTTAAGACATCAGAAGCTGATTGTCAGCCTTTCCTTTCTCTCGCATGCATCCTCTGACAACCCCACACTTCCTCCAGGAGAAAATATGTTTCTAGAGAACAGGACAAAAGAGTGTAATATCAGAGAATGTGCAAGACAAAAGCACATTACGGTACTTTCAATGATGTTGTGCACCTGCCAGAAACATGCTTTTCAGCCAAACTGAAAAATTAAGTAGGTGAACCATAAGTAGGTCCATAAGTAGGTGAACCAATTAAGCTTTTTAATAAGGCAGAGTAGCAATCAACAGCAAAGGCGACATGAAGAATTATTGTTAATTACAGTCCTCCCATCCAAGTACTAACCAGGCTGATGTTGCTTAACTTCAACAAGACTGGATGCGATTGGGGTGGTGTGGCTGCAGACATGTCCCCCACAGTCCTCTCTGGGTTGCTTGTGTTCAGTGCTGGACAGATTTCGAAGTGAAGTGCTGGGCCTTCGTCCTGTCAGTTAAACAACCTGGATCCTCTCTTGCTATTATTATTCCTAAGAATTGTCTTTCTCTTTATTTCTTTTCAGTAGATATATCATTTCTATTTAAATGCTATTTAAAAAATACCATATTTTAAAATGCTATTTATCTTGCATTAAGTAATTTATTAAAATATTTCAAAACACCATTTGTGTTATATACCAAGTAACTTCTCCGTATGGATGAAGGGGCGCTGGCCTTTTCTACTCTCTCAGGGACCTTGGACGAGCTGGTTGGGGGACAAGAGTGTACTTGTCACTTTCTAACTCGACCAGTGAAGGACCAAAGGGCACGGCGCACACCATCTGTGGTTCACTCACCGACCTCGGCTATCTTGGGGGAAAATGACTCAGTAATGACTGGGTAAAATGAGCAGTTTTAAAAGCCCATTTCTGGGTCAGGGATTTTTGCAGCCAGAGATTGGAAGTCTCTCCGTCGGAAGCAGTGTTTTTCTTGTCTTGGGAATGAAGGCAGTATGATTTGCCCCACCGAGAAGCGATGTCGGCGAGGTTAGCCAAACTATGGGAAAGGAAGAAGAATGGACCTGGGTAACTCGGGGTCCTCACAGGAAAGCATCCCAAGGCTCCCCAACATCACGCCACCTTTATTTCTCTCGCCTCTTCTGCGGCCCCACCCTAGTAAGAGACATGCTGAGTTCCACTTGCATCTATTGACAGTGTCACCGAATGGTCTGGTGGAACCCTATGTGCCAAATGTAAAATATATTGATGTCCTCATAAATAGCTTTGTAAGAAATAATCTTAAAGATAAGGAAGTGGGATAATTCCAAATTAGATGGATTCTAAAATGAGATGTTTTCTCTCATTACAATACATTTTATGTACTCTCCTTCTGAGCAGTTTTCACAAGGAATGGAAAAGCAACTTTTTATCATTGTACTAAGGATCCCTAAAATGAATTTTGTTTCAAAAAATGAGATTCCATGAAACTGAAAATACCTCTTTTTTCAAGTGTCCTGGATTCCACAGTGGGGAAGGAAAAGGGACATAGAAGGATTTTGATTGTTGTGCTTATAGACTGTGTATCCTTGTGTGGAAAGATGAGGCAGAGACTGATGGTACTGGATAATCGATACTTTCTTCAGGAAAAATCTACTAGGAGATTCCAAAGCAAAATGGTAGGCCTGCATCACTCTTAACAGGACAGCAGACAAGAGCCTTGCTAGAGGTGATACGGGGTCCAAATGTTACCAAGGGTTGGTTTTGTTTTGTTTTGGGTTTTTTGTTTGTTTGTTTGTTTGTTTGTTTCAGAAACAGAAGCAAAGAATCATTTAGAATTAAAACATTGTACATATGAGAAAACTAGGCTGTAAGAGGGTGTAACATCTCTCTGTCTCATTGTTAAGAACATATGGGCTTAAGTAAACTTGGAAGAGTTGAGGCTGTTTCTGTAACACGGGAGGAAACATAAATTCCATTTCAAGAAATGTTTGGTACAAAGTTATTGTATGAAAGGCATCATGGAGCCAAAGGAGAATAAGGCCCCGTGGAGAGATGACTTGCTCATCAGCAAAAGGAGGTTCCATTCTGTAGGCCTTTGAGCCCCTACCCTTCCCCAGATAGTAACTCGTAAGCATCGTGTGAGTGCCACAAGCCAGGTGACAGAGGGCCAAGGGGACACAATCCCTTTGGGTTGGATGGGGGAAGCCCTTCGAGGAAGCGGGGCCTTGGAGTCGGCAGCCGAGGATCTCAGCAGCGGATGTTCCAGAAACAAATGCCCTCAGGTGGAGACAGAAAGCATTTGGGGAGCAGGCTGAGCATAGGGCTGACTCTCTAAACAAGTGGGCAGTGAAGCTACAGAGATGGAGGCATGAGTATAAACTGTCTATGAGTGCACTGCAATGGAGATGGAATATACTACATCCTGAGCAGCTGCTGCATGGCGGCCCAGTGACCACTTTTACAAATGAGGATGCAGAAACTGAGCTGAGCCACTGTTGTAAGACCATACACAGCAAGTAAGGAACCCGGAATTCAGCTCCGGCTTCTGCCAGCCCTGCTCTCTGCGCAAACACGACTGTGCAGGTGGTTTAGTGGGGAACTCAGACCCCCCAGAAGGGCATCCCAATAATGGGAAGTGTGGAGAGGGTTTTATCGACAGGAATGGGGCAAAAACCAGGTTTCGTGAATTGCCTTCCTGGCATAGACCTTGGTTCCACACTGAGATAAATGTGGAGAGCTGTTTAGATTCAGAGTTGTTAGGGGAGATCCCAGTTCCTTAGAAATGGTAATGCTCTTTTCATTCATTCCCATGAGTCTTGCTTTGCTCCTAGATGGATGATGACAGAATGGACCCCATGTTCGCGGACCTGTGGAAAAGGGATGCAGAGCAGACAAGTGGCGTGTACCCAACAGCTGAGCAACGGGACCTTGACCAGGGCCCGGGAGAGGGACTGCGCTGGGCCCAAGCCCGCGGCCGCGCAGCGCTGTGAGGGCCAGGACTGCATGACCGTGTGGGAGGCAGGAGTATGGTCTGAGGTGTGCACACCCCGCTTCCTCTCCTGTCGTTTTTCTTTCCTGACCCGAGGCTTCTTCAAGGTCGCATCCGCATCACGATCGTAATCTCTCTGCAGGACATTTGATGTTTTTCAATGTCGATTGTACTGACAAGTAAAAAAGTACACTCATTATAAGTAATTTCAAAAATAGGGAAAAAAACAAAGCTATATTTACTCTTTATTCCATAAATACTGTAACATGATCAGGAGCATATTTTAAATACATTTTAGAATCCTACTTTTTCATTTATGTGCCATAAGCATACTGTTTAGTAGGCACATGTGAAAATGTACCTTTGACTCATTATACAACCCTGAGCATTTAAAAGGGAAAGTAGAAGAAAGGAATTAACATTTAACAATCATTTTGTGATCCAAGATTGTGGTTTTAGTTCACATTTAATATATCGTTTGCATTTAATCACCAATGCAAGAAATTCAGTTTTGTCTTTATGTGATACAGCTCAGAGGCCTTAGTTTACTCAAGTCCTGACTAAGTAGGAGAGCTGGGATTCGAACCTGGTGCCCCACTTACCTGCTGGCTGGTAGTGTGTGGCATGCAGGTGTGTTTCATGCCAAACGGTTGCTTTATTTTCTGTTATCATGGTGCATATTGTTACATAATAATAAGTACCAGTCCTCATATTTCCTGGCTGCTCTGAAGCACAGTAGGTGAGCATGTGCACACAGGCACACACACATTTACATGCTCACACAAGCGTGCAAAAGCAAATGCACCCACATATCCAGAGCAAAATCATTCACGTGCTTCATTTCAGAATATTAGATAAGATACGAACATGACAAACAGGAAATGCTAGGTTGCAGTTAGTAACCGTTGTTTGGATAGGAGAATAAAGTAACTCAGATAATAATGTGTGTGACTATTTTTTAGTGAACCCAATTCCCCTAAAGCATGAGCAAATAGCATGACTTTCTGTTGTCTTATTTCCTGAGCTATCCCTTGCTGTTTAGTGGATTCTTCTTTGCTGTTTAGCGGATTCTTCTTCCTGTGTGATGCATATTTTTGAGGATGAATGTGATGTCTGATTTTACATCAAAGTGAATCAATTCAGTCTGGAGAGACAATTCACAGAAGTATCAGAGAAACGAAAATACCTCACCTCCTGCCTAACCATAATGTTTTGAAAATTAGCCAGGAGTAAATAGTCAGAAATATTCTCCTCTGCAAATTTTTGGTACCAGCCGCAAAAAATGACACATCTCAATGCAATATGCCAATCAAAAAACATCACTCTTATTTTGAGTTCATTTAAAAATTGATTGTATGGATCAGGGTTAATATCAACTGCAAAGAATAAAAATACAAATATTAAAATGCCAAATCACGTGCACATGTCTACTTTGAAGCTCACCATATTCAAACACAACCCACAAATGAGGAGACAACTACTCACTTGTGCAGAATTCAGTGTGTTGGAAACATCACTAGTTCCACACTCAAGTGTCCAGAAACACAAGTGTCGGAACCCTATACTGTGGTTATTCCTGTGCTGTGTCGTCGCCAGCATTCTCCTGCCCCCCTTTCTCTAGACCTTTCTGAGGCACAAATGTAAGTTGGATCTTCACGCCTGCCGTAGCTCTCATTCTGCTCTACAGCCCTGTGGTCCCTCCAATGCCATTTTGGTCCCTGTGTCCAGAAGGTCGGTGACATGCACCTTTGTAAACCTGGGAAACTTTGTACATATTCCATAACAGAAAGCCCCACTGCAAGAGAGGGGGCAGGTTGCACCTGAAATATCAGCAGAGTACATGTGCATTCTGGTCATCACCATTGTCACCAATGTCAATCAAGCACCAGCCATTTATAATGCAAATTAAACTACCTGTGAACCAAATTACACTTCAATCCATGCAACCGTTTAGAATGATGATTTCTAGGAACACATAATTATGTAAAGATATTCTTTATTTTGGCTAAGATTTTCTCTGAGCTGTAGGAACAGTTTGTGAGAAATGACAATCTGTAGAGAATTTTTGTTTTTCACAACATGTCTTAAGGCTAAAACAGTAAGTCTTAGCAAAATAAAAGAATGAATTTTCTTACATGAGTCTGTGTAAAAATTTGAGGTCAGTCAAAGGCAGTATTTACATTTTGATCATTGCACACTGTCTTTCACCAGTGACCCCGTGTAATATTCTCCCTGTGATTATCGTCCTGTGTTCTGAAAACCCTTCCACCCTCAGCGCCCTGCCCTGAGCTACATCTGGGCTCTGACAGGGAGCGCAGCCTGTTCTCCTTGTTCCTTGTGCTTCTGCCTGGCCTTTCTGTGGATTATAGGCTTATGAGAAATGAGTAGAGCCAACACTTCATGTAATTTCATCATTTGTCTGTGTCTCCTAATTGCTGACTTTCCCCATACTGTTTGATGTTATCTTCCAGTGCTCGGTCAAGTGCGGCAAAGGCGTCCGTCACCGGACCGTGAGGTGCACCAACCCCAGAAAGAAGTGTGTCCTCTCTACCAGACCCAGGGAGGCGGAGGACTGTGAGGATTACTCGAAATGCTATGTGTGGCGAATGGGTGACTGGTCCAAGGTGAGCACCATTCTGTCCACTCTCGGCATCAGGTTTCAGTAATGTCCGCACGGCCCTGGGTGCATGCTGCACCCACACGGGCAGGAGTTTAGGGGGGATGGAAAGTGGAGGTAAAGATCATGGGTGGTGGAGTATTATGTCCCTGGCTTCAAATCCTGCCTGTCTATCCATAATCGTGAGCTCTTGAAAACCGTTTTATAGATTAAGATGTATAAATATTTAAAGAATGAACATTTAAAGGTTAAAGATTAAACCGTTTAAAGATCAAAGATAAAATGTATAAAGCAATTAACACCATTTTGTCACAAAGAAGGCTCTCAAAAATACTCTTCTTGTTTTGTCACTAGTTTTTGTGACAGTTCTTTGTAAGGATTTTTTGCATAAAACTTATCAAACATTATCAGGTAGGTTGACTGTACTTGAACAACAATAAAAAAAGTAAAAAAAAAAGAAAAATATATACTTTAAAACAGAATGGGCAGAACCAGTCAGAGGGATTTCTATCATAATAGGCATTCTTCTCATAAAAGACATTCTTCTTCCCACCAATATTTGGGACGGGGCGGGGGGTGAAGAAGTAGGAAGGAATGGAATTCTTGAAGCCTTGCAGTCAAACCAAGTGGACACCATTCATTTTGAAGTTGAATAGTAAGTATAATACCATGGCTGTAATGATGTTTATTTAAAATTTATGAATGAAGTAGATAGTCTCATCTATAAGTGAACTGTATTCACTCTGCAACGTATTAACAAATACCCATGGCTTAAGATAAAATTCTGATCCTATCTAGGTGAAAACAGCTTACAACTACCAGTTTTCAAAACATGCAAATATTAATCAAATGACCCCAGTGCCTGGCCACATTTAGCTGTAACATAATATACTTACTGTCATGAGATCATACTTTTATTTACTGCAGAAATAAAAATAAAGTGGTGGCACCAGGGCGTGGTGGGGAGTGTGGTAGCTCTTCATAAATAGCACCGAGGGGCATTCTGAATGAAACGTTTTCATTGCATTATACACTGTGCTTCGCCAGCTTGCCCAGCATTGCCCCCGCCCCAAATCCATGACATCTAAAATCCACTTTCTTGTGATTAGTCACGCCTTTCTTCCCTAACGGAAATCTGCTTATTGCCATGGCATGAGTTCTCAGTAAACTTGCTCTCTTCCTTCCACTCAGAACATTCAGCATTCACATTGGGACTCTCAAAGGAGGCATTTGTAAACAAAGTGAATCGATCCCTGGCTACAGAATTGGGAAATATTTAGGCCAATCCATGAAGCTTTTAATTGATGAACCATGTAAGGAAATATCAGACTTCAGAGTAAACAACTTCCAGGTGAAAGAAAACTCCAAATTAACCACAGATTTTTTTTCTTATGTTCAAGGCTTATGTTTCTGCATCTCTAAGAGAGAGAGAGAGAGATACAATAGGATGATACAAAAAGACAATGATTTGGAAGTCAAGAGACTTCTATTGCATAGAGGAACAAATTGGTTCGGCCACTGAAGACCTTTGTGTCTTTGTTTCCATGTGAGTGAAATGAGGAAAACAGACATGATTAGTATTGCTTTCACACTGCATGTATGTGTTAACTCTTCATTCAGCACTGAAGGCACAAAACAGGATGAGAAAATGAAAGCGCTAGTTGGAGAGGTCTAGGGGGCATCACCTATTGCTCACTTTCAGTTGTGAGAACTCTGCGTTGGTTTATTTTGGCTAGTGGAATTCTGGACGTTTTCCTTAAGTGATTCAGCACTAAGGAAAAGTTTAAAAACCACTAGAATATATGAGCTACACTTTTCCAATTTTATTAGTAGAATATTCTGAGTGATAAATGTTGTTAACCCCGTTAACTACAAAAAAACAAATGTGCAATTGCAAAAAACAGGAGATCCAGGTGTTATTGTAATTTATGACACAGAACTAACTGTAAGCTCCTCCACTGCAGCAAATGGAAATAGGGCTAACAAGTCCTATTTTCATGACAGATGCTAAGGATTGAAATGTGCCTCTTACGAAAAATGAAATGAACTGGGGAGATAATAGAAAACATTAGTTTTGGTTTTTCATGCTAAACCTGAAAAAATATCTTTTAAATCTCACTGAAGTTACATGCACCTGATTTTCAAATATGCTTGGGTGGAAGCACTGTGCGCTGATCTCATTGCGTTGTTCTATCGCTGCCCATCTAGAATGTGGTGGTTGTGAGGAAAGCGGTGGACAGACACAATCAGTGTTCATCGTTCTGCCATGATGCTCCACCTTGGTTTGTTGGACTGTTTGTTTCTTTGTTGGCTTTTTTAGAAGATACGGTATATTGCACATTTTTGCTGTCTATGAATCTAAGTCTGCTCTTTCCCTTAACACCGTGTCCTCCTTCGTTGGTAACGGCAGCCTCAGCAGAACAGATGCCAGCCTCAACGCAACGAGAGCCAGTGGCTCCCACTGGACTTTACCTACGTCACTCCTCCTGCCTTTACTCCTGAGACATTGCTCTCATGTCCCCAAATAATTACAGAGAACAAGAATAATGCAGTGATATCTCCATTGCAGTGACTAAAATATTAACAGACAGAGGCGGCATCGGTCTCCAGTCTCGCCAGCTGGGACCCGGGACCAGAATGGCACCGATGTGTGTGCAGTTGTGGTGGACTCCTGGGCTGCTCCAAGGCCGATCAATCTGCTAGTTTCACTCGAATTCTAACATGTTTAAACTGCTGGCAAACCTAAGTGCACTTACAGTTAAGCCCTGCATCCTTTAATTTGGAATATTCAATGCACTATCTGTAAAGTCCAGCTCTAAAACCCTCCTTCTCCCTCAGGGGTATTACTAGGGAACCAGTTACAAGACAGACAGACAGACTCCCAGGGTCCCCAGTATCTAAGTCTCACTGACCGCCGTTGGGCCACAGTGATGCTGGCTGCACAGAGGCTTCCTAAGAACACGGATTCTGCCTCACACAGTGTTCACTGCATCCATGTCAGCCTGTGTGCTTTCCAGCATTTATGATTTGGTGGTTTTGCATAAACAGTGGGAAAATTGCTCTCTGCTTCAGAGGAAAAAATATAGACCCAGGCATACTCAAGGAGAAAAATCTCCTGTCATAAAATCATGACCTCTGATTTCTAAGTAAATGGGATGCAGCCTTTGTTCAATGCTCATGCTTATCTCATTGAGACTGGATGGCTGGCAAAGATAGGACAGGATGTCATTGCTTTGCTCTGGCTAGGGTTAACCATGGACACAATCAGATGCCCCATTGGGACCATGTCTCTGATACAAATATGGCTTTAAGGTCTTTCCTGGGAGAGAGGAGTGTAACTTGTATGTTCTCTGCTGGTATGAATCCGTAGTTACTCAGGTAAGCTATCCTACGTATGGAACACTGGCTTTGAAAATAACATAGTCTTGGACTTCCGGCCAAAATGGAGGCATAGGTAGACACACTGTGCCTCCTCACACAACCAAGATAGGGACAACAACAATTTAGAAACAATAACAACCAGAACTGACAGAAAATTGAACTATATGGAAGTCAGACAACCAAGGAGTTAAAATAGACACGTTCACCCAGACTGGTAGGAGGGGCGGAGTTGGGCAGCTGGGTACAGGTCACGGCGCAGAGAGCAGAGAGCATTGGGACCAGGCGCGTAAGGCATCCGGGGCGTGCAAGACCACAGTGGGTGGACCCTGGGCGAGCAAGCGGCAGCTGGCAGACCCAGTGAAGCTGCGATTGTGAAGCAAGGCACTGCACACAACCCAGGATCACAGCGCTGGGAAATAGAGCCTTGGAGCACTGATTGAAAACACCTGGGGGAGGGGGGTTGAGGCACATGGAGAGACTCCCAGCCTCACAGGAGAGGTCCTTGGAAAGTCCCACGGGGTGCACAAGCCCACCCACATGGGAATTGGCACCAGAGGGACCCAGTTTGCTTGGGGAAATGGCAGAAGGCATTGAGGTCCCATGGAGAGTGGAGCAAGTGCCATTGTTCCCTCTCGGACCCTGCCCCCACATATAGTGTCACAACCCAGCAACTGGGGTGCCCCAACCTGGTGAACACCTAAGGCTCCATCCCTTTTACGTAACAGGTGTGACCAGACCAAAGGGAAAAAAAAAAAAGATGGCTCAAATAGAAGACCAAAATGAAAGCCTCACAATCAGCACTTTTAAGCGACTGAGAGATAGCCAACCTATCAGATGCACAGTTCAAAGCACTGGTGATCAGGATGCTCACAGAACTGGTTGATTTCAGTCACAAATTAGATGAAAAAGTGAAGGCTACAATAAGTGAAATGAAGAAAAATGCAGAGGGAACCAGCAGTGATCGAATGAAAGCTGGGTCTCACATCAATGGAGTGGACCAGAAGGAAGAAAAAAAACATACAATCAGAAAAGAATGAAGAAATAAGAATTCATAAAAATGAGGAGAGGCTTAGGAACCTTCAGAAAACCTTTAAACGTTCCAACATCCAAATTATAGGGGTACCAGAAGGAGAAGAGGAAGAGCAACAAGTGGAAAACTTATTTGAACAAATAATAAAGGAGAACTTCCCCATTCTGGCAAAGGAATTAGACTTCCAGGAAGTCCAGGAAGCTCAGAGAGTCCCCAAGAAGGAACACACCAAGGCACATCACAATTACATTAGCCAAGGTAAAAATGAAGGCGAGAATCCTAGAAGCAGCAAGAGATAAGGGGACAGTAACCTACAAAGGAGTTCCCATCAGACTGTCAGCTGATTTCTCAAAAGAGACCTTGCAGGCAAGAAGGGGCTGGAAAGAAGTATTCCAAGTCATGAAAGGCAAGGACCTACATCCCAGATTACTCTATCCAGCAAAGCTTTCATTTAGAATGGAAGGACAGATAAAGTGCTTCTCAGATAAGGTCAAGTTAAAGGAGTTCATCATCACCAAGCCCTTATTATATGAAATGTTAAAGGGACTTATCTAATAAAAAGAAGATAAAAACATGTATAGTAAAATAACAGCAAA